TACATTATTTAAAACTGTAAACTATTCCCCAATAGGCCCTATATTATTACTAGTTTAACGCAAGCGTTAATATAGCGAAAACACTTTTGAATTTCAATCTGTGGATTAGCTTACGCTGACGGAAGCTACGCCAGTCTTACGCCGTGTGTGTGAACACACCCTTAAACTGCAATCGTAGACCTTTCCTATCATTCGACACTATTTCTACCCCTCCTGTTTAATATACTCCTACACTTCTGGAGTTCTTGGGAGGTCGGCTTTACCCACCAGAACCAGAACAAGAACCAATGGAAAAATATTTTCGTTAGTTGAAAAATTGACTGTCAATCTTTCAAAGAATGAAAATATTCTTCTTATTTCACGATTACAAAACATTCATTATTCGTTTTATAGCACACCTAAAATAGATCATTGCAATTCGATATTTTATGAAGAAAAGGTAGGTCTACCTTTCTCCAGAATGGAGCAGTCCCTATTCTTTCAATCAATGAAAACATTGTACATTAGGTTTAGCCATGCAGTGGGACAAAACGAATGATAATAAAATGCACGGATGAACAAAATTTGTATGACAAGTGACGAAATAGTGTATATAACCATGTCACGTGACAATAAATCAACAAATCAAGTGACAATGATCTATATAGGTGTTCTAGTATGCAAATAATGGATGTTTATGAGCGTTATGGAAGAATATTCAGGTCCAGAGGGTATATATTAAGGTAGGACGCCGAGAGTTCGTATCAGTCCGTTTTACTTCTTAACGAAGAACATCGTTCCGACAAGAAGAAAGAACCACATAAAGGTAAAACATTTTCTAATTTAATTTCATAGTTGAGATGTTCTAAAACCAATTTCAAGACAGAATTAATTTGTTTTTCCGAAGCTTTCACAGGTTTGCAGACATGTTTTACATTGTTATACAACTGTATTTTTTTATAATCTTGAATTGTTTTATACTGTAGTTCATTTTTTGTTTCATTAAATTGATTTTCGTATTTAAAAAACTCGTGTCTCTGCAAAGTTGGAACCATTACGCTATATCAGCGGTAGTGGTATTTATTAGAGGCCCCTGACCCTCATATTATAGAAAGAGGTTTTGTTTATGGAGCAGCATCGATCCATTCGGTAATTTTGTAAATAATCTGCTATTGTGAAATATTTATAAATTAAAAAATAAGCCTACACAATTAATTCACACATTAACGGCTCTCAAATTAGTAAGGCCTATTCTATTTTACGGTTTCATTTTGGACACCGGGATAAGTAGTTTCATATTCAGAATTTGATGCTTTCATGTCACTAAGTAGACAAGGCCCGTATCAAGGGGAGGTTTTATGGTTCGGGAGAACCCCCCTTTTCTAGCAAACCCCCCTCTTTTTTGGCGAACCCCCTCTTTAAATCCCAAATAAGTTCTCCAACCCAACTAATGCACTGCAGACCCACCCAGACACAGACGTTTTCAAACATATCTGATTTTATAGCATTATTTAGACCCATAAAGCACAAAAATCCTCTTGCTTTGGGGGTTTCGGCGACCTCACCTTGGCTTCGACCGTGGACCTGTCTCTTATACACATCTAGATGTGTATAAGAGACAGGGGGT